CCTTTAGTCGGGCGCACGTCGGTGAACCGCGCGCTTGGTAGTATGCGGCGGCGCACATTTCACGGTGCGCGGCTTACTTTAATTAGAGAAAAACTTGGCGCTGCAAAAATTTAAAATGTAAATAATACGTTAATTAGATTAGCATATGTTCAGTTTAGCAGCGCCAAGTTTTTCTCTAATTAAAAAGTTATTTTATACTTAAATTTTTTTAAATGAAAAAATTTTTTCACTTAAATATGTTCCACTATTTTAATCATATTGCAATTTATGAGATACAATTTTTAATATTAGAAATAATACTAAATAAATTTTGTAACATAAATTTTTATTGGCGCAATATTTTTATCATGTATCTCACTATTTTTGTAGAAAATTAAAACAACTATTTTGTAAAACAGTTTTTTAGTTTGAATATGACAGTGTTTTTGTATTAAAATAACACTATTTTGTATAAGAATTTTTCACAACAAATTGAAATAACACTATTTTGTATAAGAGTATTTTTATAGCGAAAGGCGCTTGTGCGCGTGCACTTGGCGCCTTTTTTTTACTTTTTTTAAAAAAAGGTAATTTTTTTGCATAGGGGTGACCGGGGCTGGTAGGCCAGTTTTTCAATATTTGATTTTTAATGAAATACATGAAAGAAATATCATTGTAGCGATTATTGTCTTCGATAAGATATATATTTAACTATCGGATTAAATTTAAGTTAACTTAAATTAATGATAATTAATATATTTAAATATTTTTTTCATACCTTCCACGCTGGTCAACTAATCCCATGATCGGTGTTGGTTGACTTACAATATAGGGCAGATTGACAATAGGAATGCAATCACAATTGGGATATATTATTTGCAGTTTAACCCAGCGGTAATGAAATAGTATAACATTAAGAAAGTTGTTTTATTATAATGTTACGTCCAGACTCAATGGAATGAAGAATCAGCGGAAGTCGTAACCTACTTACCTCTAGACAAACGCTAGACGATGCGTGTCTTAGAGTCGAACGAACAGAGCAGGGCCTCAGACAGGTCAACGACCGGAAGGGTCGCTCTTACGCTATCGATAGACCGTTCGCTCGGCGGTACCCTCTTTTGATAAAGGAACTGAATCTTTATTACCCGGGACGGGACCTTGTGCGATTTCGGGCAACAGGAAGGAGGTCAGGTTAAATAATAAATTATTCGAATTTAAATATTAAATGTTACATTTATTAAAAAAAATAAGAGATTTTGAAAAGATAAAATTTAATAGTGATACATTTAGAGTTTAATCTATAAAACCGTAATTATAAAATAAATTTGCTTAAGGTCTAATGTGTATTTGTGTGAATGTGTGTATGTGAAGGTAAAGAAAAAGTTTTCTCGTGGGTGTTACAATAAATACGGAGGACATGAGCCGGAATGAAGAGGGGAAAGACTAAAAGAGTGACCCCAAAAATCGCCTATTTTTGGTCCCGCGATATTGGAACTGAATTGTGTGCCAAATGATACCTTATGACAAGATATCAATCACAAAAAATTTTTAAGTTGAGGTGAGCATTGGTTCCAGAGATATGGGAAGTCAAAGTAATTAAAATTCACTAACGCGTCAGCCCATACTTTAAAGCACGAATTTTTATGCCAGCATGAGGGGAGTGTTGGCACATGGAGGGGATGTGCTAGCAGCGCTCGGGAGGTAGAAGAGCGCAGACATACAATCTTGTTACAATACATACAATCTGGTTACAATCTTACTTGCTACAATCTGCTGTTCTTTTGAGAGAGCGCAGACATACAATCTTGTTACAATACATACAATATTGTTACAATCTTACTTACTACAATCTGCTGTTCTTTTGAGAACTACTTCCCGAATCAGGATCTTTTTCAGGATTACTGTTCTAATCAGTTCTTTTCAGAACTACTTTCGCAGTTTTCTTCAATTTTGATTTCATCTTTTGATATTTTTAACGTTCTCCATTACATAATGTCTTCAGCCACTTGCTTAGGCTGCGAAGAGCAAAAACGAAGGAAAGGTGAAAAGTTTTACTTTGTTGACAACATTCCAAATTCATTGCTTGTTATTAACAACTTGCGACAAACTTATAACGCGAAAAAACGAAAATTAGTTGAAGTAAGCAATATTCCACCAAAAAGCAGAGTCTGCCACAAATGTTATAAACTGAGTAAAAAACCATGCTTGTCAATGTCCCACTCTGATCCAAATGTACCTGACTTATCTATTTATCAAAAGGAAACAACTGTCATCTAGGGTATACATTTGGCTGCAAAAATATTGAAAACTTGATTTCAGTTCCAAACATGATTCGTCATGAGCTTGTAACGATGCATTCCCCCATCGTTACTGTACCGTACCCGGCCGCCGATCCGCCGGAAGTCCGCCGCCCGACGAACACCGGTCGGGCAAATGCGGAGGCGCCGAGCGCCCATTTTTAAACGATAATAGAAACACGCATGTATTAAACCGCCGTTAGGCGCGCGTAAACATCTCGAATCGACGACACGCTCGGGTAACCGACCCGACCTGTACCGAAAACACCCGAGCCGCGCGCGCCGCTTCGAGC